AAATTTGTGATGCATGGGACTGGGGCTGAGCACCCCTCCTTGTCTCTGAGCACCTTCAGGCTCTTAATGCACGCACCATGCACTGCTGATGCTGGAGCTATTTCCATATATGGCCTCTTGGGCTTGATTTTTCAAGCGTTCTGGACAAAACCAGGTCCCAGTTTTCTGCCCCTTTGGAAATTAGCTAGTCAACTGTTGTCTCAGTAAGTGTGCTCCGGAAAATCAAAATGCCCTTTTAAAATTAATATAATCTCCAATTATCATATTACCTCAGGGAGGAAGGCCTGGTGGTACTTAATAGAGCTCTTTGGGGCTGTTGTGCATTTTAATTGAGTGAATAATTGTAAACCACTTCAGGGCCTTTTGGTAAAAGGCTCTGTACAAACATTGCCATAATGCTGAATAATCAGGTTGCGATATGAACTGGAATAAATGAACCCTGTAAGTAGGTATATGATGTATATATACATATAATGAACGGGTGTATCTATAACAACATTTTGGAGAGAACAAGGCATTTACTTTATAAAAGTCCTGCAGTTCTTGAGTAACAAACAAAACCTGAGATGGGATAGTGATAATCATGACAATCAAAATGTTTTCAAGCTATTGTGAACCTGCCGTTTACCTTCCTGTGCAATACATAGGGGATTTCCAGAAGCACTGACAGTGTTTCTGCTTCAGTGGTTCTTGAAAAACAGTAGAATATGTTGTGTGTCACAGTGGAGGAACGTGGAGGAGGTAGGTCCAAGGAACTATTATTTGGGCACCTGAAGATGTAGATAGCCATCTAGATGTTTGGAGGAACCAAGGGAGTTTCAGTTCAGATGGCTTTCTGGTGGTATTGCTGCAATGCAGTGGTAGGGTTTGGAATGGAGAAAATATCTCCTGCAGCCCAAGTCAGGGCTCCTTCGGTCATTTTCCAGCTGGAGGAATGGGAAAGACAGCAGTGGCAAAGAGGGCACCGCAGCCTCAGCGGCAGGATCCGCACTAGGATTCTGGCTGAGCTACTGCACCCATCAGTAGCCACTCTGTTTCTCCTGAATGCTTTGGCTGTCTGATCTCTTAAGACTATAATTTTCTGGGGCAGTGACTCTCTTCCTCGGTGCTTGTACTCTCTTGTTATTCAGCCCATTAGGAAGGGAAATGCCTCTGGGATGGAGATGATGGAGATGAACTTTTCATGCAAAAAAAAGGCTATGCTGGGCCAGGCGGTGCTAGTACAAAGAATGCTCTATTCTTAAAAGGGACTTGACACAGGGATGATGCCACTTCACTCAGTTAATGAAAGGAGCCATCTAATACAGGCTAAATGCAAAACAGCGTAGAGGAAGCTGGCATTTGAATGGCTTGAGTGCTTGAAATAGAAATGAATGGGACAAGACCTGACTCTGTTTCTAAAGGAATCAATTACCACACACCCTCTTACTACTGTGAAGCTCTCATTTGCAGGAACAGTCAGAGCTATTTTTGCTGGGGACTAGGGTATTCGTTGCTTGAGATTAAGGGCATCTTTTAAGCACCAAGGAAACACTGAGGAATGCTGTGGATTCAAGAGGGCTAGAAAGACTCTGAAATGATTTTCCTTGCTGTAAACCCACTGAAGGGACTGATGTAGTGCTAGGCACGATTTGAGTTCTGAAGAGTTGTACCCACAGTCAGAATGGTTTGACAAAATGATCCATTGTGTATTAAATCTATGGATTCAAACAGTGTAGAAAATGTGTGAGCTATTCAGCATCTTAGAGTAGGAATTAGGTGGGATTAAAGTTTCCTTTCTCTTCCCAACTGCACAAAAATAAGGATCTCAAAAAGAAAATGTCTTGGGTGAAGGATAATGGAATATACTGATTGCTAATTAAAATTTTTACCTATGGAAGATTCTCCAATGGCCTATATGAGCTGGTGGCTGAGCATTTTTCTGATAGGGTAAGTGTCTGAGACACCAGAGAAAGCACAAATATCCCTGTTTAGCATGCTACTGAAATCTTGGCAGCAGGTCAAGGACTGATTTTAAAGTGGAGACCCCACGACCTTTTCCTACCTCAGCTTCCAGGTGAGGTCTGAAGCCTCTTAACAGGGTGGCATGAGGAAGCTTGCTGCATTTGGTCAGAGGACGAGTTTCTTTCACATGACCATTACTTCATCATTTTTCACAAGCTCCAGATTCACTTAAGCTTTGTGCCTAATGCTAATGACATCTGATATCTATAGCTTCCCTTCCCATCTGCCAGGGATTTCATGCTTCTGAGGAAACAGCTTTAGAATTGCAAAGACAGCCAAAATGTAGCCTGAAATCATAATGATCAAATGCTGTGGCTGCAACATGGGAATATTTTTGTCAAAAAAAAAGGAAGAATGGTTGTGTGTCAGAATACCACGGTATTAAAAATCAATTATGTTTCCAATGAAATAGCAACTGGCATCAATTGATGTGGGATCTTCTCTTGCCTGGTGTGGTTACCCTTCAGTTGCTCTCTCTTTCCAGTTGGGCTCATCTCTGGTTTTGTATTGCTTTATTTTGGGCACACTTGGTAAAGAAAAAGTATTTTCAGAAATTTTCATCAACATGTGCTGCACTGATGTCAGCTGAGGAAATCAGTGTCAAGAGCAGGAAAAGCCAGAAGATGAATAGATCTCTTAGTTCAAAATAGGAAACAGCTTGAAGTTCCTTTAGGGGGAAACAAAAACCTCATTCATTAACAATGACATTATTTCACCTCTGGTAGAGAGTAAGGATTCTGTTCTCCAGTGATGGGCAGACACGTCTTGCATTCATGGAAATGGTGCTGAGCATTCACAGATCCAAAGGAACAGCCCTAAATATTGATAGTTTTGACTGGCAAGCTGTTCTCATGATCCGTGTGTGGCCGAGACATATGGCACGGGGAAAAATGCATTATTTGTGTTCCCAAATCGATCTCAGTCTCTGTAAGGTATGTACGTCTCCCTGCGTTCGTCTCGGTGGCTATCAAAGTAAATCTGTGTCGCTGAAGTGAAGGATCTTGCCTGGATGATGCAGTATTCATCGATTCATACGTTGATATGAGGATCGTGTCTGATCATATATTTTGTGCAGGATTTATCAATGAGGTATCTGGGTTTCTTGAGGTTTTTTTGGTGTTTGATAGCAGTGTACATCCATCTACTTGTTCATAGCCATGTACAAAACAAATTGTGGGAGTTTTTTCCAATCAGACTAAGAGTAGGACAGGAGTTGGTCCTGTTGAGAACACCTCCAATTGCTCAACGTAAAACGTTCAGTAGGAGGTTTTCCAAGTGCCTGTATTTTCTGTTCCATTACTCCGAGTACCTTCCCTGTTTTCCCTTGGGGCCCAGGGCTGCAGCCAGCAGCCTGACTCCTACCTCATGCTGTTCTGAAATGTCTTTATTTATCATTAACTTTGTCATTTGGCCTAAACGCTGATATTTTCCAGAAATCAGCCTTTTAAGTGGAGATGCCTATTAACTTTCTGAAGTCGTATGTCAGTGAATCACAAAACTGTTTAGTTGAACTAGACAAACCCTACAGTGATACACGAAAATTATTTCCTTCTCAGAGTCATGTTTATGTTCTTTTCCAGTGATCTGGCTGTTGTATTTGAAAAGAATCTGTACAAGAGGTAATTTTAAGTAGGCACAAAATAAATTCTGTTCTGTACACTACCCAGAACCTTTCTAGAAGATCCTAATTAACCTCCTTATGTCAGCAGAAGAAGCTCTATTGCATTTGTAATGTCAAACACTTTTAATAGAAATGATCCTTTTCTGATACCTTTAGGCATCATCATTCACAAAGCAAGCTTTTCATTTTGGGATATTAGAAACAACAGTAGATTAATCGAAGTCTGAAGTTCCGCAGTGCAGAACTTCCATCTATTATCCTGCTCGTCTGTAAAGATTGTGCCCTAATAACATGTGAGTGATACAGAGCATTTAGTGAATAAAGTCCAGTCGTTATCAGGTTGGCTCCCTGCACTGCCATACTGTCAAATTACTGCTGGACCATGGAGCAGCAGTGATGAAGGTACCAACTCTTAGGGGAGATGCTGGTTTAGGACTTGGTTGTGATCCAGATTCGATGTAACCCCGTGCACATCTCAGTGCGGAGAGGGCACAGCAGGCTTTAGGACGTGACTCTGGTGGCCACAGCCAGGTGCCACTTTGTCTCACATCTGTGAATGAAGCTGCAACGGTTCTGTAGTGAAATGGAATTAAGTCCTCCAACAGACAAACAGATTATCTGCTGATATTTGTACTACACTGGATCATTTTGGTAACAATGTCCATGTGTTTTCCAAAAGAAACCAAAGCCTCTATGTGCCTGCACGGCAGGGCCAAATCCTGCTCTCAGCAGTGTGAATTCAAAAATATGAGTATTTTCAGAAATGTCTTTGCAGTCATTCTGATTTAAAGTAGGAACTGTATTTACTTTAATCATGCAGTTCCCAAGCTCGACTTTGATGAATTGCAAAAGCTAACTCTTATCAAGTAATTTGGTGGTTTTCTCTAATTTCTTTTCCTGAAAAGAGCAGGAAGTTTGCCATACTGCAGAGTAAGATGAATGAATTTGGCATTTGAGGCTGAAGTTTCCAAGAAGGATTGGGTTGTTTTGCAGTCCTGTAAATGCAGGAATCCTCCTTGCAAGCCCAGTATTTCTTCAGGTTCATGATCAAAATTTGCTCTGTATCAACATCTGCAAAAGAGGGGGAAGGTATTCCAGATGTGAACACTTCCAATCCTTAACAGCACCTACAAGTTTAAGTGGGAATGATGGAATTTCCCTTACTCATAGTCAGAAATTATTAAATGGTTTTGACACAGTTTCACAGTGAGTTGCTGTTTCTCAATCCTGTGTTAAAGGGTTAATAAAGCATGAAGACAACCTGCTTGTCAGTGCACAGATGTGCTAAGAAGTCACCAGAGTGACAGGAGAGAGATGTTTTAATCTGATAATACTACCGCTTTTCAATTTTTTTTTCTGTGTGTTTTCCTTCCAGCTATCCATTTCCCATGGTATTCAGTAGCTGCAGTAGAAAGGACCTGGAAAACAGCCTGGAAAAAGGAGTGGGAATGTGCCTCTTTAACTTGCCTGAAGTCAAGGAGTCCTTCGGTGGACAGAAGTGTGGGAATGGCTACGTGGAAGATGGAGAGGAGTGTGACTGCGGGGAGCCTGATGTAAGACACCACCTGAGACTTAGTGCTCACCTCCTGTCTGCAGGTTTTTAGCAGTAAAGACGTATCAGAATTGCTTTGGTGTGTTTAACACTACTTGGTATAAAGCAAAACTGTCCCTTCACTGCTTCTATCTTATCAGCTTAAAGCACAGAGTCCTCAGAAATGTGGCAAGTTTCTGTTTGACTTGCATTTGAGTTGCTGAAGTTCAGGCAGGGTATTTTTAGTTAAGAAAGTGCTCGATTCACCGTGAGAGAACAAACTCTCTCATGGCTTCTCCAGCAGACTACCCGACTGTCACATTCCTTACAAGAGAAGTTCCTTTACGTACTAGCTAACAAGCAAAACTGAAAATACATTTGTTAACCTTGCTCAAATTTCTCAAGATACTGTGTGTTAATTGAGGATTCCATGTATGAGAAGTAGTCATGCTTTTATATTAATATAAATAGTTATGTAAACATTAATATTGCCTAGGTATTTTTTCATTTCAGCCAGCTTCGGTTTTTAGGTACAAGACCTTTCCCTCCTTCACCGGGAGATTTTTCTTTGCCTCTAGCCAATTACCTTACTAACAGAAATGGCCTTTACTGCCTCTTGAAAAGATTGCTACCACTTCAAAGATCATTCCATTTGGTTTCATGAATGTGTCAGAAGACTGCTCAGATCAGGAGTAGATATACAAAACCTGGGGGTCAAATAATACCTGAGCTTGACACCCTTATCCCTTTGGCTTGCCGTGCTCATCAGCTGTATTGAAATTTTCTCAGATTATCTGAATTAAAGACATCAGCAGATGAGGGATTTGTTTCCTGTGATAAGTATGGTTCTGCAGACAGAATAGATCGGGGCAGTTAAAACAGCAAGACATTGCCGTATCCTGCCTATACAGTGTATTGGATTTACACAAGCCATAAGGATTTCCTGACAGTTCATTCATTCTTCAGGCTAACAAGGTTGGGGAAAGCAGGCTTATCTCCTTGTTTAAAGTCAATAGAGTGCAAGCAGCTTGCAAATGTCTTTCTAACCCAGTTATCTTTCTCATTTTCACTTTTGAATGTTAGCAGTACCTTTTCAAGTCAAAGCCACTTAACATCAGCAAGCACTGACTTGATTTGCCTCTTCTTTCTCTGTTTTTCCTTTTTAATTACATTGAAAAACTGCAGCTTGGGCCCAATTAAATTAATTTGGAATTTACTGCTATAATCTGAGCGGTACCAGGAAACCTGTTAGATTAGTTAATAATTCACTGCCCAGACATTTATGCCAGCTGAGTTTCGTCAGTAGTATGGCAGTGTGTTTTGGCATGGAAAGCTGAACAATAGCATGCACCAGTTGTATTTTCTCAGTGATCAGAATTACGTGTCAGTCTGAATATGTAGATGTAGGTGGTTGGTAGGGATATTTCTCCTCTAAGTCAAATATTAACCTCATGTTGAGGTCTGTGCTCACGGGCATTCCATAGCAGTAGGACAGCAGTGGATTCATGAGGATGGAGAGTCGTGCCTGTAGCCCACCTCCCAGCCTTCAGACCACGCTGGGAACACGAATGCCGTAGGGACTCTTTGACCACACTACGGTCTCGTGTTCATCAGGGGCTGGTCATCCTCTTGAGTACAACGGGTGCCGGCACACCCACCGCCAGGCCAAGAGTGTGCGACCTGACCAAGGGTGACATCATCAGTAAACCCCCAGCTTCCTTCTGGGTTCTATTAATGAAAATAGCTGATGTGCTACAGCGTCTAGGGAAGGAGGGTTAATGTAGATTAACCCTCCCATTGCAATGGCAAGATTGAAGAAGGAAAAAAGGAAAATCCTTGGTCCCTGAGATCTGAACGGTGATGACTGTAGCTAATTTCATCACGGGCTGCAGGGGGGATCAGAAAACTAGAAACTGGTAGATCAGAAGTCAGACAGTTCCAAATGTGATAAAGAGGTAGTGCCTGAACAGCTGTGACATGGTGGGGACATGTCAGCACAGCTTTTGTGCCAGGAACCCTCGTCTTACAAACCTGTCACTGTGCTCTGAAGGACTTACCAAGTGGATGGGAAGGGGTGATGCGGTCACTGCAGCCTGTTAGGAGTTCAGAGAGGCTTTAGACAAAGCCTCTTTAGGAATGCTTTGGTAGCTGTAGGCTGAGAAGATATTGCGTGGGCAAAAATTGGGTTAAATCATCCATTTTAGGCAGTGGAAGAAGATGCCGCATGAGATGTATCCATGAGATGTGTCCTGGGGACTACACAATTCAGCATATTCATAAACATCCTGGGAAGAGGAATAGTCTTCAATTTGCTGATGATATTACTTAGGATGGTAGAGATGAAAGCTGGCTGTGAAGAACTGCAGAGGAACCTTCTGGGGGAGCTGGACTAGGCATTAAGGTGACAAATGGGATGCAGTGTGGAGTGATGCACATTCCAAACATCACATATAAGATGATGGACTCTGAGCTGACTCTGACCATAGAGGAACAAGACTTCATATCGCAATAAATAGTCCCATGAAAATGTCAGCTCAGTGCTCAAGAGTGGTCTAAAAGGTAAATAGGCTGTTAGAAATTACTAGGGAAGAAATAGGAAAACAAAACAAAGCACCAGTAGGCGTCTATAAATCTGCAGCGTGCTGCGTCTGAAACTGCAAGTGGAGCTTTTCCGTACCCCCTCCCGCCCCGATCTCAGGAAGGATAAAGCAGAATGAGAAAGGCTGAAAGAAAAGCAATAAGGCAGTTCAAAGTTCTGGAGGGGCTTTGGCTAGAAAAGAAGAAAATGCAGGAAAATGCGACAGAAGCTGATACAATCGTGAGTGACTGGAAGGAGGCCCACCTTGTGTTCCTAGAAAAGGGGGTGAAAACATGTCCTGCCTGCAGTATCCAACACTGTGTAGGTGATGCTAGAATTGCTGGTCTGTTGGAGATGCTCTGATGAGCCCAGGAGACCTGCACCAAGAAACCCAGCTCCCATCATTGCTCTTGTTACTAATAATAACCAATAATAATAAACTCCAACACAACCGTAATTCCGGGTGGCAGCCTGCAGCCTCCGACTGCCTTGTGAGCCTTTTCTGTTTGCTTGCCTGGTTATGTTAAAACCATTCCTGACAATTTAATAGCCCAGGCACAAAAACTATTTACCAAGCTCATTCCCTACAATAAGTGAGTGAGCAATTGGAAATTTCAAAGGCTGCAGTAACATCATTCGAAGAGCTGTGTCTTTATCCCAATCTGCCTGTGGAATACCGATTGCTTCCCATGGCTGGCTGGTGTAGGGCCAGATGATGTGATGTAGGAGCTGACTGGTTCAGAAATACCTTAATTGGACTGACTTTGCTTTCCTCCACTCTGCTTTTCTCAGATTGCTGTTGAGGTGAATTTATAAAATGTGCTTCAGTGCAGAGGAACATTAGTCCTTAAATACAGCAGCTGCACAGAAATATTTGCGTAGCCTGCTGCCTTCTGGCATGATCAAAAATAGGTGCAGGAAGTTTTTCCACTGCTTCAGAGCAGCACAGTTAGCTCTGTCTATTCAGGCAGATATTATCTAAGAAAACAGTGAAATGCTAAGAATCATTTTGCTCTTTATTTGTGAGTGCAGCGGTAGCTCTGTCTTCCGGTTGGAAAGCTTTCCAAAGGCCAATAAAGTAACAAGAGGCTGTGAACATCATTCTAACCCACTTATTTTTCCTGTGTTCCCTCTATTGTTAGTGATCCTTTGTTAAGCCAAACTGACTTAACACAGCCGAAGAGCAATTTTATCTGCTGCTATTTTTGTTAGAGGGATGAGATTCCAGCGCAGCTGATGTAACGTGCAGCTTGTGAGCATCATCTTGGAAAAACAAATCCATTATTTTCTGAAACTTCTTACTAGCTCATTCTACTGAGAATAAAGTTTGCAAAAGCCCGCACGTGCCACCGTCTAATCCGTAGGTGTGAAATTGGGATGTATCAGTTCGGGAGAATGCAATTCATACTCATTGCATTTCTCCAAGCTCTGTTGCTGGCATACCCTGATAAGAGATGACATGGAATGGTGTCATCCATCTTTCTTTGTGGCAGCCACTGGTCTCTGTGTGACACAGAGGTTCGGTGAGCAGCTATCACAAAGCAGAGATCTGTAGTGGTGATGCTCAGGGACTGTAACAGAGGTCCTGGAATCTCACAGGAAGCAATGGAATCGTTCCACTGATTCCTGTGCAAATAAAACTAATCATGATTGGTATCAGCACACTTGAGTTGCTTGTGATATTTGGGATTGGATCTATAGCCAGAATAAACCGGCTTTCCTCAGCGGCTTGTCTGGTTTTACTGCTGCTATTGCGCTTGTTGAATCTAAGGACAGACAAGACTGTTTGGATCAAGTTGTAGAATTTCATGCATAATTCATTATTTCATGCCTAGCTTTCCTTGGCAGAGCTATAGGCAGCCTCTTGATTTACTTGGTGACTGAAAGTTGTCTGCTGTAAATTTATCCTCCTCCTAGGAATGCACAAACCGGTGCTGCAATGCAACGACCTGCACCTTGAACGCGGGAGCGGTGTGCGCGCATGGACTCTGCTGCGAAGACTGCCAGGTGACCCGACCAAAACTTCCCTTGGTGGGGGGTGGGCACAATTCCACAGTCTTCCCAACTGCAGGGCGGTAAAGAAGGATACAGGCCAAGCAAATTGGTATCATTGAGACTCTCGCATTTCGTGTAAACAGTCCAAAGAAGTCTTTAACTGCTGTTGAAGTAGCAGATCAACCGACTTTGTTGATGGTGTCTGCTGTTTGTAGCAACTTCATTTGCTCATGTAAAACCTATTTTCACAAACTTTTGTATCCTTTGATTTTTTCATGCTTATGTTATGCTCTGGCAAGCAGGCATTAAATGCTGGACCCTTTTTTTATGGCAAGACTCTTAAAATATTAATTCTGTGAACAGCATGTGTATACTATTAATGGCAGATCATCAGCTCCTGTGGACTCCTAACGCACTATAAAAAGCCAACTTGCCGCAGGCATTACCTTCCTGAATTCTCAGACCATCCCTTGCATATGGGCTAATAAAGCATTCAGCAAGTTTCCATTGTGTCTGTGGCAACCATCTGCCTAAAAGCTCACTAACAGCAAGCTGTCAAAACAGCCAGCAAATGCTTTTTAGCAAAGTCAATCTTCAGGTCTTTTTGCTTTCTACCAAGGGCGCTGTGGCCATGCAGTCAAAATTCAGTGCGACACCCGTCTTTTGTGGCTGTTGTTGATAAGGGAACGTTCAGATTGGCACTTTGACTTGGCATTGCCTACTGGTTGCCTTCAGCCCAAAGAAAATGTAGTTATCCAGAGAAACCAGGACAGGACAAGAACAGTTACATGGACTAGTTGCATAATTAAGGTGAAGAAGATCTCGATGCCCATGACAGAGTGATGTTTCCATGAGGAAATGCACCTCCATCCAGGAAGCTGTCAGGCAGCTGAATTCAGAGTCAGATGGGCTGAGCCATACCATAACACAATGGTGTGGGATCAGCTGTGTTGCCATAGCCGTATCACAGAACCACAGAATGGTTTGGACTGGAAGGGACCTTAAAGATCATCTAGTTCCAACCCCCCTGCCATGGGCAGGGACACCCTCCACTAGACCAGGTTGCTCCAAGCCTCATCCAGCCTGGCCTTGGACACTTGCAGGGATAGGGGGTATATGGATGAAAAGGTTTCTGGTCTAACTTCTGGTCAGTGCTACAGAACACCCTTTGCAGTACAGCCCAATGTTTCTGTGCCTGCGTGTTTAGGCGTGATTGCAGGAGGCATGCTGAAAACCATGGTTCTGATTTGAAAATGAACAAAAGGCTGGATTTACCTTCTGACCTGAGCCATGTTTGCAGCTGCAAGTTCAGTTTGGCCTACCTTCCTGCCAAACCCATCTCAACACGTGTCAAATAAATGTATTTAAAGAGCTGCGTAATCCTTAAGCTGTCCTCTGCGGACAGTTGGTGCAGAGCCAGTGGAAAAAACCGTTGTGTGCTGCATGGGTTATACCGCTGCATAACTCGTATTGATTAGAATTACAGCAGTTAAGGGATTTTGTTTGTTTTGCAGCTAAAACCAGCGGGGATTTCTTGCCGAGAGTCAAGTAATTCCTGTGACCTGCCCGAGTTCTGCACAGGAGCCAGCCCGCACTGCCCAGCCAACGTGTACCTGCACGACGGGCACGCGTGCCACAAGGTGGATGGCTATTGCTACAACGGCATATGCCAGACCCACGAGCAGCAGTGCATCACCCTCTGGGGCCCAGGTGAGTGTAAGAACCAGGAGATGTGTTTATGAGATAGACTCGGGGTAAAAAAAGCGTGTGATTATGGAGGAATTTTATACAGTACCAATCTGTTTCTATTCTTTCCTGAAATGGGGAACTGAATAATGAGGGAAGCAGTTTGTGATTCATTTTATCCTTGATCTGCAGTCGTGTTGGTTTCTCGCAGCAGGGGGTAAGGAGCAACAGTAAGTTGGTTCATTCTGCAGCACTGCTGAAAATGGCTAGGGGAACTCAGACAAACCATTTAACACTGGCTGATACGGCCTTGTGTCATCCTACAAAGCGCTGAATGCTCTGAGGGGTTGCCATCGCATCCCCTTTCAGACTGGCACGTAAGCTTCCTTCCATGTGCTAAACTGCAAAACATACGTGTCTGTCTACATCCCAAACCAGAGTTGAGTATTTGACATTTACATAAGATTCTTGTATCACTGTGTTTTTTTGGTTGGTGTTACCCTGTGAACCTGTGTCTTAGCAGAGCATGCACGGAAGCAGGAGATTTTGTTCTCCCATGGGAATTTATGTACTTTTTGCAAAAAATCTAACAGCATGAGTTCTCGGGTTATCCTAAGCAGATGATATCCCAGGAAAACTGCTCACCTTTCTGTTACGTGCTGTGGCCTTTCCGCTGAAACACGAGTATTAGCTCAGCTGTTGCCTCCTGCCTCACAAGTCACGTCTCCTTCAGCATCTCACTTGCCCCCACTCTCACATGGGAAAACGATTTTAAACTATTTGAAGAGAAGTGAGACTTAGAGCTAGATTTAATTTCTTTTGAACTAACTTTTTCAGCTCCCTTAGCCTCTCTCAAGTCAGTATCTCTGCCTTTATGTTCCCAAGCTTGTGTATCAATGTAATGACATACAGATGTTTTCCTTGGTCAAAACCCTCATCAGAAGTCTGTTGAAGAATTTATCTGTTATCTTTGCAGGGACTTGGACCATTTTCAATTTTATTTTTAAAAGAGCATTAAAGCGTCTCAGGAAATAATGCCACTGATACAGATAGGAGGTTGGCTTGGTCATGTGGGTATAAGAACATGTTAGAGGAGTTCCAGTTCAAAATTAAACTCCCCATGTGGAGCGAGCCATGTGTCTGATATTCTCCTCCAAATCCCACTCGCGTCGTAGGGTTGATATGAGCTCATATAGGCATGTACAATTATAGCCTCCAGTCTTAGTCATACTGGGATTTTTAATCCCCGGGATGCAGAGACATTTTCTCTTGTATAAAGCAAAATCTCCTTATGAACCAGTTTCCCATGCCATGGAAAGTTACTTGGTCGGACTGTTAATAATTTCAGTCGCTGAGAAAAATGCAGCTAAAGGTCAGGGAGCTGAATTGCTGCAGCTCTCTTGCCAGGTCTGTTTCTTAACGCGTCATGTCCTCCAACCCTCCGGGCTCCCCTAATTCTTTCTTGTCTTCCTTCTTGGGACTGTTCTGTACGGGCACTGCTGTGCATGGAGTCTCCAGCGGCCAACGCTATGAGGGTCTGCTTATGAGAAAGATGACTTTGTTAAGAAGAGAGCTCAAACAGACTTCAGCTGAAATACCCTTATTTGCCTTGGGAATACCCAACGATAAAGATCCTGAAAGGGAGGATGGGATGTTACCAAACCTGAACCCAAAGGTCTAATTCTTATCACACTGTTAGAAGTATAAATTAGAAATAATGCCAGTACAGTAAACCTGCAGTGCAGCAGATGGTATTCCAGCAAAACCCAAGGTTTAGATTCTGGATATAAAGACTAGGGATGTGAATATCCACCACCTGATCACACTTAGCTCTGGTTGGGGTATGAGCTGGCAGATGAGGGGTGGAATGGGAAGAGGGCTCGGTGGGCCATGCGGTTGGACAAATACAGATCAAAACCTCTTTCTTTGCAGCCTTGCTTGCAGCAGAAAGAGAGACTTGACACTCTAAGATGTTGTCTCTGGACTTCATATGAAAAAGACTCATCTGATGCTTTTACCAGATTGTTATAATTGATTAGAATTGGTTTTAACAACAGCATGTGTTGGAGTAAAGGAGTAGTTGTGTGGGGTTTTGAAAAAAAATTCTATACTGTAAAGAAAGAGGAGATCATAGTTCATTTACATTAATTCCTTTTTTCCTTCTTCCCAGTAGGACAAAGCCATGCAGGACAGAATACAATAGCTTTCCTAAAATAATATTCAGTATATTGAATTCCTTATCAATGTCTTCTTTTGTATGTCTTTACCCAGCAGATTACAGATGTCCAGTAGCCCAATGATAAACGTCAATCTTAATGTTTTTAGAGCTCGTTAAAGAAAAGTGATGAGCACTGTCAGAGCTTGCTTACATTAGACCGAGCAATAGGAACCTGTTCCCAGGAAGAAGTACATGCATTTCCTTGGGGGTTATTTGTTACTTTCAACAGATAAATCACAGAGAGAGGAATATTTTTTGCTATTCCCTCTCTGCATTAGCATGGAAAACTTGGTGTGAAAGGAGGGAGGAGCACCTGGGGACAGCCTCTGAATGCAGCCACAGCTAATGTTCATTCCAGTCTGCTCCCAGAACACACAACTTTCTCTACGCACTCTAATTCAGGTCATTTTTACCCTTAAGGAACAGCATGTATGCACTGCTTGTAACCTTTTTTGTTTCATGTTCAAAAATACCAAATTGCCCTGATCTGAACCCTTGATACTGGTGTGACTGAGAGATACATCGATAGTGACGCCTCTTGTGTCGTGCCTGGTACTGCACTGGCATTTTCCGGGAGCGATCAGGTACACAGATAACGCTACTTGCGAGATTGATTACCAAGGAATAGAAGATACTCACCTTTAGACTCATGGCTTCTTCTACATTGACAAGAAAATGATTCCTTAGGGAAGGAAAGGAGACGTTTGTCAGTGTGTTTTCCTTCATTTCCCCAGTAGTGAAAACCCAATGATTTTGGAGAGCCAGTGGCAGGCATTGACTTAATAATTAGAACATACTTAAATTTGTTGCATAGTCATGGCCATTTGTTTAGGCAGGAGCAATATTAATGTCAGTATTTGTTTCAAAGGCGTAAAAAATTTGCAGTTTTTGTCAGGTACAACCCTATAGGCAAACTAGATGGGCTTCCCATCTAAGTTAGCTGACCTATAATTGCTGACTGGTTTGGTCGTGGTGGTTGGTTGGTTTGGGGTTTTTTTTTTGTGCTTGGTTGGGGTTTTTCCCCCCCAAAAATACTCCTTTATCCAAGCACTGTAAAGATCTGAATTCAGTAAAATCTAACTATTTTGATCATTGCAGATTTATGGAGAGGCTTTTTCTTTTGGAAACGTAAAGGCATCACGCCGTATTCTGAGAGGTAGTGAGAGCTAGCATACTCCTTAAACGCAAAGAATAACAGCTCAGCTCCATCTTTCTCTTGCACAGACTTGACAAGATGAAGAGAGGGGCCAGGGGGAGCTTGTGGGAAGTTTGCTTTGCACCGTCAGTGCCGTAAAACAAACTTAATGAGATATAAAATCCATGGGCAAATCGAGAGCTGAGTTCATATTTATTTATACAGTTGTTCATTGTGCTTGTTGGCATACCTTAAGCAACAGAACTGTTGTTGCAACAGCCTGTTACTCAGACGTGGCTTTTTTTCCCCCCTCCACAGCCATAAACAGTATAGTTTTATTATTTTTTTTAAAGTCTTTAGCCAACATTGGGAACTGCACTGAAATATCTTTCTTTTCCGCTGTCGGCCTGGTAACAGACGTTTCTCTGTTCTGGGAATCAGCACCATGGTCAGAAATTTCTCTCTTCTCTTTCGGGAGACCGTGACGGTACTTGCTCATCGCAGCAGGTCTTGGGCTGATCTGAAATGACAAAGCATTTCTGTATCGCTTCCAAAAGCGTAAAACATCTCTTTTTTGGCAGCCGTATAGAGAAAGAAGCGGTGCCATCAATGTACATATTTGGAGGCGAAAAAAGTCTCCAGGCTGACAACTGCAGTGGTGAGCTTTGACCTTCTGCAGCTTCGAATGGCTGATTTTAATGCCTTGAATAAGGCTTGGCGTGGAAAGGCTGACAGGACCTTAATTACAGGGTCATGATACTATAATTATCAATAGCAAAGTGAAATACGCTCTGCTCATCCAGCTCAGAGCACTTAATAACCACTGGTAATCTTTCACAAATCATTTTGCCTTTGCTCACAGACGTAGCAAAATAGAGAAAGACAGGACTTTCTGCTTCAGTTTGTATGGTACAATCATGATAAATGGCTTTCCTCCAGAAACACATTACAATTCTCTTCCTTAAGCAACCTCTGAAATCCTCCTTTTAACTTGGTAGCTCCATCTGTTCAGCTTCTTACACTCTGATATGTTTTCATCTATAAAAAAGTCCAAATATTGTGAGAAACCAGGAGAGGGAACAGCCATCTGAATCCCAAGCAGCAACGTGTTTTGGTTTGATACCAAAGGCAGAATTTGAAGCAGATTTTGGTTTCCAAGCCACAGATGATCATCGGGTACCAGGTGTTTCCATGCACAGACTGCTCAGAGCCTAGCAGGGGAGCATTCTTTTGTACTCCATGAGATCTGTTTTCTTGTCAAGGGTTATTGGTTGGCGTTAAAGCCCTGCAAGGATGCTGCAGATGTGTTCTTCTTCCTGCAGGCTGCTTTCCATCATCCGTGGCACACTTGACTTCTACATTCAAAAAACCAACCAAACAAAAGAAGTTTCACCAAGTGAAAGAGGAAGATAAATACTTTAAACTCTCAGTATTTCAGTAAGCCCTTTCTCACTGTAACACCTTTTTTTTTTTTCTATTAAGTCTTTGTTTGGTCACTTACTCTCCAAGCACGGGACATGAGCATTCCTTTTGCTTTCGGCAGCTTCTGGAGCCACACACCCCTCTAGGGAATGTGTCTGCGCACTGGGCTGCTGCCGCCTGTGCTGGGTTCAGTCAG